CTAAAAAGCAACATTATGAGCATATTTCATCATTTTAATATAATGAATTGAAGAATAATATTTTTAACTTGCTAGTAGTAAAAACACTTTTTAGCTCTCACAATTTTCCTAAAGATTCTGTATTTACAGTACGAATTTTCTCTATTTCTTATATGGACCACACGGACAAGTCAAGTATTCTAGAAAACTGAGCATTTACGTGCACTTTAAAAGAAATCTAATAAATATGTATGAAAGCGAGTAAAAGGCAAAAAGCTTATTAAATATGTTAGCTTCTGTGCAGTGGTGACTCGACAAATAAGAAGCAGGTAAATAGCGCCCTCTTGCGTCTAGCTCGTTTATTAAATACGTTACGTAAATTTAGCTGGAAGTCGAGTTTTGTGAATAGAACTTTTAAGTGAAATATTTTTCAGCAATTTTAAGTTCATATTACAATAAATATACCATTTACATTTTCCAGGCTAGTTTAGTGTAGTGTTATAATGTACGAAAACTAACATTTTAGTGTACATAGATGATACAATTTGAAAATTATAATAATTACTTTATTAACTATATAGCACATATGTATATTCGGCTAAAGTACATGGCACGATAAGTATTGTAACAGTTAGGCCTTTTTTGTAATGTTGGGAACACACAGATACTACCTGTGGACACAGGTGGTTATGTGGGACTCACCGGCTAGAAAAGCCAATGCTACCCACTAAAACCCAACAACCCCCCAATATTAATTGGGGATTGTTTACGCACTCAACTACGATGCTCCAAAGGCAGGCTATCCCCTCTGCTATCAGACAAGTGCCAGGAGCAACCCGCATAGTACACCACCCACCGGAGTAGGCCACCTCCCTGTGCATTTCTTGGCTTTGCGGCCGGCTAACTGCCGGGCGCTAATGAACCATCTACAACGACAAGGTGAACGTACGCTGAGGGAGAACGTAATTGTTAGCCCAATGGTAACCCAGTGCGACTCAAATCTGGGGCCTCGAACCTCTAATGTACCCTTCATTTCTTACGGGATTATCACTTGCCTTACTGCAAAGGAAAATATCGTGAGGAAACCTATGTATGTATGTTTTCTCAGACACACTTCACCAGTCTGCCAACCCTCACTTGGTTAAACTGGTCAACTATAGTCTCATCTCCCTCGTATTGAAGGTAAGCCTGTGTCCAGCAGCAAAACGTTGAAAGGGCTGAAATATTAACGATCAAGCAATCTAAATTATTATCGTGTAATATTATATTTGATTACACTAACAAAGGAAATCAGGTTTCGAATTTATTACTTATCACTCAAGAAAGCCAGACTTACTAATTAATATTATAAATAACTTTTTAAAGTTATTTATACCTATAGAAATACGAAAACCTCCTTAAAATTTTGTAAACATTTATAATTTAAGTTTCAGTGCTTATTGCTTTGATTTTAATCCCTCCATGATCGCGGACATGCTGGCATACAGTTAACAACAGATGTCTTAGAAATTTAATTAATTTCTTAGTAATTTATCTGGAGGTGTAAAAGTATCCTTTGTTAATACATTTTTTTTCTGCTATTTATATATGTATGTATATCTTGTGAAAATAAAATTACAACAAGAGAATAGCACCAATTTTATTATTTGTCTATATCAGGGATCCATAAAACACTCACAAAAGGTATCATTATGACATATCCGGTACACCAATACGTTGTAATGTACAATTCATAAATTCTTACCCTGAGCATCTATCTACTCGTATATATGTATAAAAAAGAAAAAACAAAACTCTTTAGTACCTTTTTCTTCTCTGTTTGTTAACCGATTCTCTTTTTTTGTTTTGTAGCTAATGACGGTCTTTAGTGTTGTCAATACAACATTTGATGACACGTTTGGCTCAGTTTGTAGTAACCCTACTTGCTGTGACAGCGGTCGCGGGTTCAATTCCCGCTAGGGGGCATTCATTAGTGTGATGAGCACGGATGTTAGTACTCCAGTCGTGAGTATTTATATTTATAATATGCATGTAACTGCCTCGGTGGTGTAGTGGCTAGCATGTACGGCTGCACACCCGGAGGTCCTGGGTTCGAGTCCCGGGTCGGGCCAAGTTTAGTTATTGAGTATTTCTGTATAGTAAGCCTCAGTAACAGCCCGGAGTTGGGAAGTTGGTGGTGTTTCACCCCCGTGCCTCGGAGAGTACATAAAGCCGTCGGTCCTGCGCCTTAACTCTCACCGGTCGTGTCGAGTAGTCGTCCCACCGGAGTATGAGAGTGACAGGAATAGAGAGTGCACTTGTGTCTGCGCGTACACTTGTGCACTATAATATCTCCTGCGCAGTTGGCTAGTCTCAATGAGATTGGCCGCCGTAGCCGGAATCGGCTAGGAGAACATCATCATCATCATCAATACACTACACTACACTCAACACTAGTTAATTAATATGCATATAATGATTCATGCATATTTAATTTAGTTATGTATTTTTTCAATTAATTGTAGTAATAATTGTAGAGCTGTAAAAGTATTTTTTAAGAGAATCTGTTAATTTTACGCCCGAGTAGTTATAAGCTAGATAACATAATGGCTAATATTTAAAAAGACTTATCGATGTTTCAACGTGTAATATTTTAACCGTTCGCTAATTGCTTCCGGTGTAAATTTTTATGCGAACTAAGAACTTTCAGTGTTTTAATTTTAAAAGTACATGAAGAGGTTTCATTGAAATAAATACTATTATGAAGTCATAATTTTTTTTTATTATCTATTTCTGTATTAAAGCTTCAGTAAGCTAAAATTATTAAGCATCCAATAGCGCGATATGATTTATTTTGATACAAAATATTATGTAAAAATCTATGGTCAATATATGAAAACTATTTATTATTAATCAAATTACAAAAACAAGATACAGAGATGAATTAAATTCACTAAGTGTTAAAGAAAGATTGTTAGAAGTAGATAGAGAAATTTTGCAGTATTTAAACACAATAAAGTGATAAAATTACTTATTAATATATCAAAGTTACATCAATTGAATATCAGCAGATGCTTAAGCCTTTTGACCAAAAATATTTTTTTAATTTTAAGTTGTAATCGTTTTTGTCAATCTTTAAAATATTTAAATTAAAGACTCAAATCTAGCGTCTTAGCGTCTTATCGTCTTAGTTTTTACTTATAGTAATTCTGTTGGAATCGTGATATCAGGAAAAATTTCTTGTCCACTTTTATATGAAAAATTACGCGAATTCCTTTCCCCATTACTTTGTGTAAGAAGTACCAAAATCAACAACAAAACATGTTTATTTTCTTATATGTCTATAATATAACTTGAGAGCAGCTGCTATTGAATTATGTAATACAAATGTACCAAATCTCGTGTTAACAATTCAAGCGGATAAATCGTGATGCGGTTTGAAACAAGCATATTTGAACACTTCTATAATATACCCTTTTAAGAGTCACGCTTAATATAAATGTTAAAGGTTGTCGTAATGAAACTATTCCGGGAACCTTGGAATGGTCTCGAGATGATTGAAAGGTGCTCCGAGCAAAACGTGCCAAGTGCCTTTGTTGCTGTAATGACCAGTTCTGTTATGTTTTAGCAAAACCTTCCGTGTATTTTACACTTACTACTGTTTGGAGAACTATAATTATGTTAGGTCGTCCATCGATAATACAAGACTAGGTAGGTGCAAATTAGAGTTATGCAGTTAGATTTATTGCCATAGAATATATTATCTGTGTTACTATTTTTTTCATTAGATAAGACCTTATCTTGAATAACTGAAAAAACTCTCATTATCAATCTCTCACTCTTACTACCAGTACCTACCTCTATAAGCCTTTGTACTTATATACCATTTTTTAAACGCTGGGAAATGCTAAGTTTTAAAGGCAATGTAATTAGATGAAAGGCAGTATAAAAAATCGATTTGTGCCACCTGCGAACTATGTACAATACTATCAAAAAATGAGCTACTATCCATAGCTGAAACTATCAATTGTTTCGATAGCATCGATACCATTGATATTATTTTATTTTGAAACTTCAATAGTCTCGATAGTATCGATACTATCAATACTATCGATTGTATCGATAATATCGATAGAACTACCAATATTATAATTATCGGTCACTATCGATTAATTATCGATATGCTATCGATAGTCGACTATCGATGGGCAACACTAATTTACGTATACTACCTGCAGCCGTACAGGTGGACATGTGTGAGTCACCCCCAAAAAAAGCCAGTACTACCCACTAAAAATCCACGGAACCTTACCTGTCGTAATGAGCTCGCCCGTACGGTCTATTCTGCTATCAGAAAATAAGTAATAAGAGCAACCTCAAATCCAGTGCATCTCTTGGCTTCATACCCGAAAAACACACCGAGGATGAGACAGACATTGTCCTACCACAGACCTCGACAGACACATTTACTATATATAATAGTATCCAAGGTTGTACCCGAACGAAGTGCGGGTAGGTCGCTAGTCTCATTGTTCTGTACAAATAATACAGGTTTCAAATATAAATGTTTCATACTACTATTGCTATGACTGCTATTTAAAATCACTTAACCATTTAAAACGTCGACGATCGTCTGAGAGTGACAGATGCCCACTACTAAACTGTAAGCCGCTTGTAATATAAATGATTAACTTCATAATTGCGAAATCTATGTAAATATTTTCTGTTTCGAAATTAATTCGAATGAAATTTAATGAATAATGAATAATGGCAAAGGTGAAGCAGAAGGGTACGCGAGGATATCAGATCAATAATATATCTTGAAAGTTAGAAATATGAATTTATCATAATAGCATGGTATTGTTTTTCAATAGTACATTTATAATTTTAAAAAAAAACAGTTTTTCATGTGCTAATGATTCTTTAATTACAACGTTCATTTTAGATAAAAAATGAAATATTTAATATTTTCTGAGTAAAATATAAATATATATAAAATGGCTGGATTTTCTCATCACTTGTTGGTATCTGTTTGAGTAAGAATGAAGCTGTTAATAATAAACACTGTTCTGCTTTTGTCAGCACAAGGTATTTCACATTAATTGTGCTAAGGTTTGATGCATATCCACAAATTGTACTCATGTTTAAATATAAATTTAAATATTTAATTTTTTATAGAAAAAAAAACAAATATATGACAAATGTGTATTTTTTTTGAAAATCTTAGTTATTGTGTTGGTGGTAACGTGGGTATGATTTCCGGAGAGAGTGTTCATTGACCAATATGGTTTTGACAACTATGAAAAGTAAAGGAATGAGATATTCCCTAAGTTTCTGTGTACATTTATAATTTGAAATTCTCAAGAAAGTACTTAAAAATATAAAAAAAAAAACAAAACAAATATTATATTAATTTCAGATGCTTTGTGCCGAAGAACTGGATATACTAAATGGAATGACAATCGAATAGTTGGAGGACAAACTACGACCATTGAAAATGTTCCATATCAAGTGCATTTGTTACTTCAAAAAGGTAACAACTATTACGCATGCGGAGGATCTATTATAAGTCAAAATTATATACTTACGGCGGCACACTGTTTAAGTGGGTAAGATTGACTTGTCACTTTCATATTAAAGCTTTCTCAAACCTCAATTATTGTTTCTTAACATTATTACGCCTTGATTTTTATACCGTCTAATAGGTCCTTAGGGAAGACTGATAAAATAAATAACTTAAGCTGAATTGCAAACCACAGATTACAAAGTCTAAAGTGCACTTACAAAGAATGTAACCATTTTTTGTCAAAGTATAATGTTTAGTAGGATGTAGATTTAACATCGTTTTGTTCATGTGTGTGTTGTTAGAATGGAATGGTTTTGAATTTTTAAATAATTCACATGTTACTTTTTGGCAAAGAACATTTATAGTTCTCAATAATTAGATAACTTCTTCTTCTCCCTGCCCATTTCCCAATCACTTGTGGTCGGCGTAGTACATCTTCTGTGCTACTGATAGGATTTGGCAAAAGTTTTAGGACCGGCCGCCTGCCTGACGTCAACCCTCCTTGGGAATGCTATTGTCTCTCTTTGTCTGAATGGTGTCGCGGAAGTCTTATAGTATGCACTTTCGATTTTTTTGTCTTTTAAAACATTTTTTATACTATTACTTAAATTTTAATGTTATTTTCGGATACATTTAAAAAAAAATTGATTACACAATAAATTTTGTTTTGACGTTGTCAATTTTTTTTAAATATATATATATATATATAATTATTAGATAACATGATAATATAAAATAAAAGATATTGGCGGTAGAATATTTGACATCAAAGTGTAAAGTTAAAAATTACAAATCAACGCTAATCAGTTGACTACAGTCATCACAGATTTATATTAAGCAAGTTTGATATACTTATTAATAAATCATGCCCGCGGCTTTACTCGTGAGAGAGATGTGGAAATAAAAGTAGCCTATATCCATACAGGATGTGTAGCTAGCATATAAATCAAATCAAAATATTTTATTCAGCATTAAATTATTACAATTTTTTACTGAACGTCATGAGTCTACTACCAGTTCGGAAAGAAGAAGCCTCAGACCTGAGAAGAACTGGCGAAAGAAACTCAGCGGGAACAATATCTATTCTTAAAGTATAATCTTTTTTTAAAGTAATAAGTACAGGATGTCTTTATTCCGAATTTCACTTAAAACCGTAGGCATATCCGTAATAGTATGAAAAAGTAACAAACACATTTACTCATTCGTGTACATACAAATTTTTATATTTATAAGATTTTGTTTACAATTTCATAGGTATTCAATTTTTGAGCGAAACTCTAATTCTGCTTCTAAAATAAAAAAGTAGCTTCGGTTATTCCTCATAATACCAGCTTGTGAAAGTCTCGTCACATTCGATCCAGCCATTTCGGAGATTAGCCGAAACAAACAGACAGACAAAATATTAAAAATTGTGTTTTTCTTTTAAGTACCGTATATACTTTCATAGTAATTTAGAAAAAGCTTTTATTTTGACATTACGATGTGATTTAATTGTCTTTTTTGCAATTTAACGTACTTATATCATATTTTCAGAATAACACGAGCGTACATTAGAACAGGATCAACCCAAGCTAGTATAGGTGGAACTCTATACACTTCCACTAATTTCACTCAACATCCCAATTATAATCCAAACACCATCGACTATGACGTTGGGATTTTGAGTCCTTCTACTCCTATAACATTGGATGATAAGACACAAGTAGTACGTTTGGCAGATAGTGGTGATGCCATAAATTCTGGAACACCTGTCATTGTGTCAGGATGGGGCGCCACATCTGTAAGTATTGTTTAAAAATCTTTTAAAAATACTAACAAAAAAGTACAAGTAAAACATAATAATAATGGTTAATTAACTAATCATAATCGGTGTCATATTATATATCAAAGATATTATTTAATAAGTTCTCAAATTATAAAGCGTTTTAAATATTAACACCAAGAAAAATATATAAATTAAGCTTCTTATATTAAAATTATACCTGTGCACCTCTAGATACCACCACACTATCTTTCTATACTTCTATACATATAATTAAATTCTAAGTGACTCGAATCTGTACATTAAATGATTTTTTGGAAAATATTATTGAAACAGTCATTATTATCGATGCAGAACCTGAATCTATAGTTATTCGAATTTTTGTATGTCTGTCTGGAAACGCATTACGAGAGAACCACTGGACAAATTTTGATATGATGATAGCTGGTTATCTGGATCAACATTTAGAATACTTTTTACTGCGGGAAAATATCTCATCCATCAGAAATTTACCGTTAAAACGTACCAAGGGACGAACCCGAGCGAAGAGAGCGTGAGACGCTAGTTTCCTATAAAATAAACTAAAAATGTTACTTTAAGTAGAAATTACATAGTACATACACACACTTGCACACACAAACACGCGCTCACGCACGCCCACACGCAAACACTTTCGCGTTTATGGCAAGTATATATATTTCTCTTAAAAACTATAATTTACTCTCAGGAAGGAGGTGCTTCAAGCGATACCTTAATGGCTGTCGAAGTACCAACGGTATCGAATGATGAATGCCGTAAAAAATACAGATCGCTAACGGAAAGAATGTTTTGCGCCGGTGTTCCGCAAGGCGGCAAAGATTCGTGTCAGGTAACAATTCAAAAATATTTTTTTGATTTCATTTTCAACCACCTCTGTTTTTTGCTTTGTTTAAATTTTCCATCAATTATGAACTTAATTGATTTTTAGCGATTGTATTGGAAAAATAAACTTAAATAATTTTTAATTATATCAATATATGTGTTTTGTTAACCTAGTGGTCAGCATATTCGGCTAGATAACAGGTTTCTAGATTCAATTCCCTGTTTTGGCCGATAGAAAAATGTATTATCCTTTCAATAACTTCTCACCATCTGCTTGGACATCAAAGATCATGTGAAATGGTCTTACACCCAACATTACTCAAGCATGGTAAATTTCTAGCCTGCTGGGTTATAAGAATGCATTTAATACTTATTGTTCAATATTTCCTGCGTAGATGGCTAGTTTCTGTGAAATTAGTCGTTACGACCGAGTATTACAGATTTATTTTTTTCTTTATATCAGGGAGACTCAGGAGGTCCTGCGGTATCAAAGTCTTCCAAGACCCTGTTAGGAGTTGTTTCATTTGGTTTAGGATGTGCACGTAGAGGCTACCCAGGGGTGTACAGTAGAATACCTGACAGTGGTATACGGGATTGGATAAAGAAAATTACAGGTGAATAACTTTAATCGACAAAATAATGAACCTATTATTTCAAAGTTATCTTAAATTGCATAGTGTATTCCTATTTTGCTGTATGTAATAATAGGTACAATACAGTAATATGTATATGTATGTAATATAATAAAGGTTTTCATTCCCAAATGTGATTTTTTAATAATATCCACAAATATACCTTAGTTACAGTTAAATATTAGACAATATTTTATTTTAATAAAATTCTAAAAATATTATAATATTCGTATAAAATTGAAGAATTTATTTAATAAATGAAAAGAAGTATTGTGTACGAGTATGTCTATTAGAGCAACTATAAAATAAAATGAAAATTATTTCATAACTTGATAAACCAAGCTACCTAATTATTTTCGTTTAAATAAAAATCAACCAACATATTTTAATCTATACATATAATAACATTCTGAGTCTAATCTGTATATTAAATATATATTTTTTGGAAAATCTTATTGAAATTGTCATTATTATCGATACAGAGATCGAATCTATAGGTTTTAGAATTTTTGTCTGTCAGTGACCGCCTCACGGAAAAAGTACTGGAGGGATATTGATGAAATTTATCATGATGATAGCTGGTTATCCGGGTCAACATATACTATACTTTTTACTGCGAGAAAATATTTCATCTCTGAGAAATCTATACTAAACGATAAAACGTAGGGACGAACCCGAGCGTAGCGAGGGTGAGCCGCTAGTAAATAATGTTTTCCAAAATCTTAGACTTTCATTATTGGTGAGCATAATTTATACTAAACAAATGACTTATCCTCACTTCACTGCTAAATAATAGTCTGCGTTACTCGACGTCATGCCATAATATCTACTATTAAATTCCATTCAAATGAGTCAAGCCGTTTTAATTTGAAGAAGTAACAAAGGTATAACCAACACGCATACCCATAAAAACTTTCGCATATACAAAATACTTTAAAAAACAATACAAACACAACTATACAAATACAAACAAATAAAAATACGAGTACAAATAAAATTCATTTTACCTAGAATGTAAAAGTAATAGACATATTCACGAATTCATCTAGATTGAGCGTTAGCTAAACTTTTCAGGAGGAATGACAAAACTGTAAGCGAATACTAACGTGGAATCTGTTAGAATTTAAATGAACGAAGCTGTAGTGGGATGTCACTGAAACTTTTTTAATTTTGTCGGATGGAGCCAGGTGTTTGCGTGGTGTTTTCTGAAAGACAATAAACTGACCTGAAGTCTGGCGACGACGAGAGGTATACTTTATTTGATATTTTATTCATGCATACTTATTGCAAATGTTTTTAAGTTTGCTATTAACAGATTTTGTTATCAATAATAAATATGAAGAACTAGCTATTTAGCCTCGCTTCGTTCGGGTGCTAGGTACGTTTTAACTAGATACAAATTATATTTTTTAATAGTTATTCTGCTATTCGGGGCAGAGACTAATCAAACATATCAAAGATCATAAAAATCGGTCCAGCCTTTCTTGAGTTATAAATGGTATACAGACTTTGTTTTATATATAACTAGTGACTCACCCTCCCTCGCTTCGCTCGGGTTCGTCCTTAGGTACGTTTTAACGATTAGTATAGAATAGACAGACTAATATACTGTTATATACATATATTATTTTTTTCTAACTTAAAATTGACGTGTTTTTGTAGACGGTAGGTCCACCACTATTGAAAGTAATCTGAAGTAGTGATTCCCATACAAAATAACCAGTTCTGAACTTTTCGAGTTTCCAGCAGTTCTTATGGTTTTTTTTTTATATCTAAGCCATCCCTGATATACTTCCAACAAAACAAAAAAAGAATTATTCAAATCGGTTGTGCCGTTTTTGTTTTAGCGAGACTAACGAACAGCAATTGATTTTTATATATATAGATATGGATGATAAATAATATGACTGTTGAAGTCTTTAATTCAAAATACCATTTAAATACATATATAGCGACACTAAACCAAGTACAAGTAGGCTTAGATCATAATAATATATTTTTTTAAATATAATATATTATAAAAATATTTTATAAATTCATTATGATTATATTTCATTGAAAATTTTATGAGGTTTTTTTGCTAATATTAATTTAATAAATAATAATTTATTTAAAAATTACTCGTATAACCAAACTATGGTTGCAACCAAGTAATAATAAAATGCGCGTTTTAGCGGAGTGGAAAAGTACGAACATAATGACAGAAATTAGTTAGTGGCTGGGCTTCAAGCTTCAACAAATGCTATTATAATTATGACCACACTGGTAGCACAAATATATAGTGGCACATGATTAAATTACCTACCGTTTGCACATGTTTGTTTAGGCTAATATATCTAATTTTTTCGACATCACACTAACATTAATGAATGAAAAAGTTTATAAATCCCTGTGTATATATTGTTATTGTTTGTTACTCTTTCACGTTAAAAGAGCTGATCGAACTTGAATGAAATTAAGTACATAGATTATAATCTGAACTAGCACATAGGCTAGTGTAAGTAATAATATTTGCCCAAAAGGTGGCGCTCGCGACTCATCCGAGAGAAGGAAGGTAATTAAGTAGCTATTTAAAATACATAATATTAAAATATCGACACCTACTTACTACTAGCGTACTATGGTTGCTGACCATATTTTAACTTAGTATTATAGCAATGTGGACTCCATAGAAAAAGAAAATCCTTAGTTTAAATTGTCTTTATAATTAGACACAATGTAGTCGAACTTGCAGGTGTGGCAATGCTATTGCATTGTATTTGAGCGAAATAACAATTTAGAATGAGGCTAGTTACAAAAGTCGCTCCCTCATCTACTACAGGGGGTGAATATTTAAAGACTAATCAAATGAATATTTGTTCCAGACTCAATCCGCATGAGAACCATGCATTTTCTTAATTACCTCAAAGCTGTATAAGGGTCCAAAGGAGATCTTAAAGATGAAAAAAAAACAATAGATTTGATAATAAAAAAAAGTGTGTGGACAGTATTGAGCTTTTTTCTCCACTTAATGCGGGTCGTTATTTGACAGCTCGTTAGATTTGTAAACGAGAGCAATTAATGTACCTATTATACGACTTCTAGTTCATTTGTTTTGAAATGGCCAATTTTATTAGTATTGAAATTTATACATCAATCTAGTTTCAAAACGGTAATAACATATGTTAAATCTGCTAGTTGACTTGCTTTATTATAGTTACCAACTTCGTATACATATGTATGTACGTTCAATTCAATATTTACGTAACAATAATGCAACTCAGTCTCGTCTATGATTGCTGCAAAGCATACGAAACGTCAGAAACGAAAACCAAAATAAACCGCGAAAAAATCCGAAAATATACTTTTATTTAAAACTAGCTGATTCTCAATACAAAGTTTCATCCACATTTCACCCCCTTAAGGGATAAAAACTATCCTATGTCCTTCCCAGAGTCTCAAACTAGGTTCCGTCGATCCAGAGATTATCCCCTACAACATCAACTCACAATCCCACAAACTCACAAACTTTACCTCTTTATAATATCAATATAGATAATGCAACTATTAAAAGATAAAAAAAAATCAATTTCATTATTTGTTTCTTTGAACGTACCAATCTTAGCACCTGTCAGATTGAAAGAAATTATTTTCCATTTATTTAGTTAGTAAAGCTACGTACCTAATTAAATTGGTTCACTTGGTTTTTGAAGCGAGCTACTATTTCCCAATGGACTACCACTGTACAAAATGGTGATTGGCATGTTATAATTGTTTAATCGTGAATCTCTAGAATGAAGTTTTTTATGACGTAGGTAGCTAATAATAACTTGAGTATTATTCTCATCAATGAAAATATACACTGGCACAGGTGCAGTAGTTTGTTACAATTCGTACATACCTACATACATAAACATAAAAAATTTAACCCCAAAAATCTCGTTAAAATATGCATATAATACCTACTAAAAACTAAAACGCAAAAATTTTGCATTATTATCTAATAAATTTTATGTGAGAAATGCTGGCTTTGCCGATTTAATTGAATGAACATTTAAAATGTAAGTTCACCTCGAAATTCGATAAATCCCTTTTGCAAATTATATTATTTAATTATGCTACCACCTGGTGAAGCCAGAATTACGTTTTCCTTGTTATAATTAAGAAATTTCCATTCAACTTGAAGGTACAAAATATTATTTTTTTCTTTCAAATTTACATCTCATAATTAGCTACTTCATAAGGTTAGGTAACATTATAAGCTTCAAGCAAAATTTCTTTTAAGATTTTTCAAATCCAACGTAGCGAGATTGCTTGGTAAATTTAACGCGTCTTAATGGCCGCTTGGTAGATTTTGTATAAAATGGGGGATATGCTATTTTGATTTGATCTAAAACTTTGTATTGTAGCGTAAATTGTACGGAAATGATAAAGAGCATAATGTGGCGGGGAGAGCGTTCCACAAATGAGACTTAAATCGAAACAGGCCGGGATGGATGTTCAATTTAGAACAGCGGTGAGAAAGCTGAAGGATTTCATCGCAGTGATAAGATAAGAGATTTAATTTCCTCTTCCAGACAGTTTGATGACGGAAGCTTGACATTTTATGAAATTAAAAGATTCATTTTTCTTTTTTCATATTACAGTCTTGTTCAAGGGTTTTAAACAATAGTATGAATCGCCCAAAGTAAATTGTGTAAAAGTACTTGTTGAATTAAAAAAATAGCTTTATAGTGAATACGAAAGCCACCTCAGTCATGAAGATAAGAATTCTCATATATAATCTTACATAGTAGGTTATTACTAATCGATATATGTATGTATGTATTCAGCCCTTATTGACGTCCCACTGCTGGGCACGGGCCTCCCTTCAAATCGAGGGGGATCAGGCCCTGAAAAAAAAAAGAGTATATATTCTCCTTCCATATGAAAAGAGTATATTTTCTCCTCTGTTTATCTACAGATTTTCTATTCTTTTGTTTAATTGTTATTGACGAGCTGTAGTATTGTCAATGAAAAATATTTTGAAACAATTTTTTTTATATAGATAGGTAAATAAGGTTAAGGTCGACTTTCGAGCACTGGACGAACACTAGGTATATATAAATAAAATTATTTCATCTTGAAATTATTATTTCGGTAATACAAACTATTAAGGTGTTGAAAACCACCTAATGCCTAGTTTTAGTACTAGGAAGAAGAATGAGTGAAGGTGATAAAAAAAGCTATACATAAAATGGATATTACTTTCAATACAGATTCATAGTAAAAGCTTAGCTCTTTAAGGCATACTCTGAAAGGATTTGAACGTTACTGGAGCAGAGTCACAAAGAGATGCAATTTGCATTACAATAAATTTATATTGGAACTCGAGAGTTCTGTGATCGGTTTGAAATCTCGATATTGAAAAGCAATAAACTCTATGTGCATGGAAAATTATAATATTTAGTGAGTTACGGCTGAAAAGAGCGGGCCTTTATACATACATATACATATTTACTTTGTAGAGATTCATGAAAAGTCTCGCATTATAATTATATATCAAATTCACATAAGATGATCCAAAAATGCAAAGATGAAGTCTATAAAAATAGTCATAATATTTGTAACAAACTTTCGAACTTCACTTTCTTGTTTGATCTTTCGTCTGATCTGTCAATTTGAGCTAAATATGCGGTATCAAAATGCAATTAATAAGTAAAACGATGGTGAATTAATTTTAATATTTTGAAAACCAATAATGTACTCATATAATTTGTTTATAGTTTTCGTGTACTTTATTACATATTTTATTATATTTTACATCAAGTAGTAAAAAAGGATGCTTAATTGTTACGGGGAAGCTATTCTAAAATCACGAAAAATTGGTACAATGCTTCATTATTCCCAAAGCTGTATATATATATATTTTAGTACGTAAGGATACTTTGATTTTTTTAAATGCTAATTTTGTTTTTAAATTTTTATATATATATGTATATATATATATATATATATATATATATCAATAAGATATAAGCTTATACCAATAAGATATAGGCTTATACCAATAAGAGACCATTTAGGGAAATACTTTGTATATTTTAAGTGTGTTTATGGTAATAAAAAATAT